TGAAGCCGGTCACGGCGATAAGATTCCTAGGTGCGGAAATCAGTGTGCGAGAGAGCGGACTGTCCATCGGGCAATCCAAGTATGTGGCTCAGGAGTTGCGGTGCCCTGGATGGTTGACATTGAAGGGTAGTGAGTCGCTTCCAGTTCCGGATGAAGGGCTAAAGGGTGCGGAACCTCGGACAGAGCAGTTTGAAGCAACCAAGAGGTTGGCGCAGAAGGAATGCGGCACCCTTATGTGGCTAGCTCCCCGATCGCGACCGGACATTGCGGCTTGCCTAGGCAAGCCCACACCATCAATTGGATGACGTATGATGACGCAATTGAACATGCGGATGCGGGATTCCAATGAAACAGAACTTGCCCAATACTTACGGACCGACATTCTATGCAGATTGAGCTAGCTGCGCACATCCCTTTTTTCTAGGGAAATAAAAGTTGAAGGGGGGGTACCTTGAAACCGGCAAGCCTTCACTTTCACTTTCCCCCTTCGATTTTTAGGCGGGGTCATGGGGGATCGATAAATGAAGGTTGGGATCGGCAACGTGTGTGCTTTCACTTGGGATTTTTGTGGGAAGCGTGGATGTGTATATTAACTTGGCTGATCGTAGAGGCGCTAGCTCGCCGGGAGCCAGCTACGCATAATTTCACCAGACATAGACATAGACATAGATTGACATGCATGTGGCACACCGAAGGCATGGACATGCAGGCGGCCAACTGAAATTGTCTTGGGCCATTTAAAATTTAGAACCTGAGTTCAATCATTTTGGGTTTCAAGCTAGCTGGGTTCGTTTGTCGGGTGCGCAGTGGAACATCAGATTCTTGTCATGACATCATGATGGAAGACATATAGGCTGTGGGTTCCATAGCCGCCAACTCGACGGATTCCACTTCGGCAGGTGGCAGCACACATGGGTGCATTCAGCCAGCTCCATTTACAAAGTGTGAAGGAACGGTGACTTTTGACACTGTCGCCATGACTGAAGAAATCTTGCCACTGCCCCTCCAGATAGTCAAGCTGCACCTGCAAAAAAAAACAAGGAGGTGCAACTGGAACGCTGGAAAGTTAAGAATCTGAAGGTGGAACGTCTCAGAAGTCTTGCGCTTTTGCATGCATTCCTGAGGCACCCCCTGGACTCCTGCAGGACTCCTGCACTTTTCCCTCCGTTTCGTTTGTGTTCTGTGTGCAGCGCTAGTAGTAGAAATAGGGGTGCAGGAGTGCAGGTTCCAGGCCTCAATTCGTCCCAGGTTTCCGAAGTGCTATTATGAGCTTTGTAACACTCTCGGCGTCGACGTTTACTTGTGGAACTGACGAGTATAGGCTGTCTGAAAATGCGGTGGCCTTGGACTACGCAGTGCCGCTGAGCACGCGCCTGCGGCATACTTTGCAGCCTGGGCTGACTCGCTCGGGGCACTCCGCGTTCGAGCCTGACTCCTGCCACGCCATTGCTCGCTTGCTTGATGGCGCAGCATCTGCCCCCTTACCCCCTCGCTGTTTAAGCTTCCTTGCCGAGCGGTCCGCCTTCTCCGCGACACTGGCTTCCAACCGCCTGGATTCGGCGACCCTGCCCCCGCACCCCCTGTTGCTCCAGCAGACCCGACTCGAGGATGGCAGCGGCCGGCCTCCCTGCTATCGACGATAGCATCGCTGGCCGCTTCCGAGCAATGTTTGACCCTCCTTCCCTCGCCCTGCTCGAGTCCCAGTCGGGGCCTTTTGCTTCGAGGGTTTTCATTGTTTTGCATCCCAGCTAGGAGCTCACTTTGGACTCGCCTGTTTTCCGTGCTTTGCTGCTCCGCTGGCTCCGCTTGCCTTTGCCGCTCGACGCTGCAGCCTGTCGCTGCCGTCGCCCCGTTGACCCCCTCGGTGACCACCGCGCTGCTGGCCCCCGCTCCGGCATCCTGCGGTCCCGCGCCGGGGCTACAGTTGCCAGCAATGTCGTCGTGCGGGACCTCAACATCCACCCGGGGCGCCTCAATGACCGCCGCATCAAAGTCATCGCAAATAGACTCCCGCTTTGGGGCGGAGCACAGCTTGCTGTCGACACCACCCTTGTGTCGCCTCTGCATGCCAGTGGAGCTGCGCGCCGGCACCAGCGACAGTACCGTGGCGCCGCCCTGCGCCTTGCCCGCAAGATTGCCCTCGAGGTCGGAGGCCGCTGGAGCTCAGAGGCTGCCCAGTTTGTCCGCCTCCTCGCTCGCTGCCGGGCCCGCGCCGTCCCTCGCCCGCTGCGACCTGCGACCATCGCGGCCTTCACCTCCCGATGGTCTGCCCTGCTCGCTTATTCTGCCGCGAGAGCCTTCGGTGCCAGTCTGCTTGGTCTTTCCCTTGCCGGCGCTGCCAATGTCGACGGCGACCAGCCGCTGCTCTCATAGGAGGCCAAATGGGGTTTTAGCCTATTGGGGGTTTAGTCGGGATTCGGGTTCCCATAATAGGGTTCATATTAAGGAATCCCTACCCTAAGAATCTTAAACCCCCCTTGTGGCCTCCCATCATGCTCAGCGAGGTCGTTTTCCTCGACTCGCTTCGACGAGACCCCGCCCCTTGCCAGCCGTCTGTCACCGCGCCCTTGAAGGAGCCTTCCCGTGCTTGCAAGCCTGGACTTGCTGCCGAACGACGTCGTGTTGGGTTTTGGCCTGCTGCACTGGGACCGCGTCGCGGATTGTCTAAAAAGGTGCGTAAAAAAATTGATGTGGTTTGTAACCATCTTTGCGGCGGCATGCGGCGGCGTCTATTTGCGGAACAGACAAATCACCTGCCTGCGCTGCGCGCCTTTGAACACCTTTTGCGACGGCGTCTATTTGCGGAGATGACGAATGTGTTTTGTGACTACGTTGCCGACAGCGAATACGTGCAAAACGGATGCAAAAGCTTTGCCGCGATCCGGTCGTGGCACCGCCCACCTTCGTGGAAAGCACCAAACCCAACAAATGCAACGACTCTACCGCTTGACAGTGCATGGGGATCATGGGGAATGCATTTTTATTGTTGTGCATTGTGGTAGTAGTAGTAGTAGTAGTAGTAGTAGTAGTAGTAGTAGTAGTAGTAGTAGTAGTAGTAGTAGTAGTAGTACTAGTAGTAGGACTAGTATTAGGACTAGTAGTAGTAGTAGTAGAAGTAGTAGTAGTAGTAGTAGTAGTAGTAGTAGTAGTAGTAGTAGTAGTAGTAGTAGTACTGTAGTAGTAGTAGTAATAATAATAGTAGTAGTTGTTGTTGTAGTTGTAGTTGTAGTTGTAGTTGCAGTTGCAGTAGCAGTAGCAGTAGCAGTAGCAGTAGCAGTAGCAGTAGCAGTAGTCGTAGCAGTAGCAGTAGCAGTAGCAGTAGTAGTAGCAGTAGCAGTAACAGTAGCAGTAGCAGTAGCAGCAAAGTGTTGTAGTAGTAGTATGTAGTAGAAGTAGTAGTAGTAGTAGTAGTAGTAGTAGCAGCAGCAGCAGCAGCAGCAGGTGTTGTAGCAGCACTATTAGCAGCAGCAGCAGCAGCAGCAGGAGTAGTAGTAGTAGTAGTAGTAGTAGTAGTAGTAGTAGTAGTAGTAGTAGTAGTGGTACTACTACTACTACTACTACTACTACTACGACTACTACGACGACGACTACGACTACTACTACTACTACTACTACTACTACTACTACTATTACTACTAGTAGTTAGTAGTCGCCGGGTAGTGGTAGTGGTAGACGGCACTGGGCGTTTGGGAGCAGCCACTGCAACCAGAAGCCTGTGAAGGCCCGCCGCTGGACACCCTGCTCCACCACGAAGCCCCCGCCGGCCAGAGTCGCCTGCCGTTGCGGCCCTGACGCGAGTAGCGTAGTCTGTAGCCTCCGGTAGACTAGTTAGCTGCGACCGCGGCTAGAAGCTTTTTTGTCGGGCAGCTCGAAAAGTCCGCTAAAAAAAAGTAGTAGTAGTAGTAGTAGTAGTAGTAGTAGTAGTAGTAGTAGTAGTAGTAGTAGTAGTAGTAGTAGTAGTAGTAGTAGTAGTAGTAGTAGTAGTAGCAGTAGCAGTAGCAGTAGCACTAGCACAGCACTAGCACTAGCACTAGCAGTTGCAGTAGCAGTAGCAGTAGTAGTAGTAGTAGTAGTAGTAGTGGCAGCAGCAATAGTAGCAGTAGAAGTAGTAGTAGTAGTAGTAGTAGTAGTAGTAGTAGTAGTAGTAGTAGTAGTAGTAGTAGTAGTAGTAGTGGTACTAGTACTAGTACTAGTAGTAGTAGTAGTAGTAGTAGTAGTAGTAGTAGTTTTTTATACGCACACTTTTTGCGACCCGTAAGAGCGCGACCCCAGTGCAGCTGCAAGCTACGGTGCTGCCCACGGAGTTAACGGCGAGCCGCTCACGCGGTGTGCGAGGCGGGTGCTGGCAAGCGGCTGGTCGCTGGTGGGAGGCTGCCCCGCACGTTAGCAAGGACTTCGTGCAGTTCTGGCGCCTCACGTGCGACACATGCCTCACCGCAGTTTGGCGAAGAATTTCCCGAAAACGAGGAATATGACAGCCGGTGTCATATATGCCGCCAGTGGGGCAGTAATCCTTGACCAGAAAACCAGGAACTGGTGCGGAGCTTACGCCGCCACTTTGCATGTCACAGCCGGTTAACACGCACGAGCGTGTTTCCCGAATTCTTCTTGTTTCGGTTCTCGTTCTCCGCAGACTTGTTTTTGGTGCTAGGAGTTTCGAAAGGGTGCAGATTCGACGCTGGCAGGGTCAGTCATTTTAACCAATATATTCGTGCTGTGATGCAAACTGACCGCAAGCTGTTGTATGTTACAATACAATGTTAAGCTTGTCACGTATGCAGCCCATTGCAATCATGAACCATGATTCCTGCTTATCTATAGCTTGACTTGCACACGCAGGAAAAATGTTTCCCAGCTTGGAGCGTGATTGCAGGGTGGTGGGTAGGAAATTGCGTAACATGTCAAGACCTACCAAGGTAGCAGTGACCAACCACGGAAAACATGTTTAGAATTTGCTCGGATACAAGCCACTGTGATTCCACGAATTGCCCGGATGCCACATGGAAGTCCTGAGCTGCGGACGCGTGGCGTGTGTTGCTGATGCTGAGACCTGAGCGCAACACTTGCCGGGAAGCATTGTAAAGAAAGAAAGCATTGTGCGTTGTGGCACCACTCTCCGGGTGAGCATCTTGATGTATCGAGCCATCCACGAACCACACAGGGTAGGTATTTGCATGTGTTGTTTGCCGCCGCCGTGCTGTAAAAATAAAGAAGGGTAGGACACAGGCGGCACCGCAGCGAGCGGAAGCCATGACCACAAAGCCATGCCGCAACCACGTCGGCGCGAACTTGCAGTCGGCAAAACCATATCCATCCGCATCGAATTAGATGAGGTTGTTGAAATTTGGCGTGGTGGAGATTGGCAGTCTTTGACCCCATCCGAAAGCCTGGACATCATCAGGAAACGGGATGCTTGCATTCGTACGTTCGCCGTGTACAACAAGGGTGGAAGCCATGTCATCGATTTGGACGCCATGACCCGGACAGACATGGAAACCTTTCGAGTCCGATCCATACGCTTCACTCTCGTGGAAACGGTGCAAGAATCAAGTATGTGGGATTTGGACAAGTGCAAAGAGAGTTTTAGCAACATGGCCACCGCGGTCGAAGATTCGCAACGAATCCTTAGCGAGGACGATCTTTTGCGTAATTGGCCAGGGGCGGTTGTGGACGACGAGTTATTGGGTGAAACCGTTCGCGAAGCTCCTTGTTTGCAAATTTTGGTGTAGCTAGTTCGTTGTGTGCTAGTCGCAGCCACTAGGTTGCAAAAGCAATGTTGCCGCCGACAGGAACCAGAGCCTTGCATGCCTGCGTGCGCTCAAGCTGAGAGGTCATGCGGTCGGCTTCCTTGCGACACCACCCAGGCATTTGCAAAGAGGAATGGCTGCACTATTGGGCTCTCCAAATGGAAGAGCCTTCCTCGTCTCTAGTTGGGGAATTGAATGACCGCTTGCGTGTGGCCTTGGAATACGACCCGAAGGCCCGGCTTTTCTTCTCCGAGTGGCTTTGCAGTTCGAAGTTCTTGTGCGAGACTCATGCATAGGTTCTTCGCCAGCGCAAGTTTTACCGTGCCGTTCGCAGGTTCTGGAAAGACTGCAAGCAATATTCGAAGCTTTTGGAGCGGTGGTACCTGGTGCCACCAATCGCTTGGTGTTGCCACTGGATGGTTTGATAGAGGCTGCGCTGCGATTTAGTTTTGCCAGCGCTTGTTAGCATGTGTCCGGCTGAATTTGCCAGGGCATGAGTAGAGAAACCCGCATTGTGTGCAGTTGGCGTCTCCAGGGAAAGGGTTGCATCGTTGTCATGACCATCCGCAACCTGGCTGCTAGGCATGCCAAGCTATGGAAGTGTTCCCTGACCAAGTGATGGAGAAGTATTGGGCGCAGGACATCTTACGCCGGCAAGCCCAAGGCACTTGAGACGGAATCATGCCTTTTTCCTGGAGCATTCAGCAACTGCTTGCCAAATTATTGCTGTGAGCACCAACCCATCTCAGTGGGCAGAATGCGAACAAAAGCAACAACTACACTAGGACGCTTTTGGATTCTAAACTGTGATTGTTTATCGAGTTTGATGTTTTGGATTGTGCAGGGATTGGGGAATGTTGGGATCAGCAAGGAAAACTCGAAAGCACGCACGTAATCATTCATACTGATTGTTGCAAGTCCGACCAGTTTGTTTCGGAGGCCAGCTGGCCTTGGAAGAGGACGAGGAGTTGACCTACCACGAATTCTTAAGCGTCATGTTGGGTCGCAGAAGACAGAAGGTGTATTTGTTGCAACTTGGCGCATGAAAGGAATCCGCCAGATGCTGCCCAAGTGAGTCGGCGTGAGCAGCTGCAGTAGGCCTCCGTCTTTCGGCATTTCAACCTGAGGATGTACGACATCACGGATGGTAGGGCGCAATCTTGGTTGTGGCTATTGGGGCCACAATTTCGTGCCTTTTGGCACACTGGCGTCATGGTCGAGTTTGTCGAGAAGCCTGCTGAGTTCTGGTATGGGGGGAAGGTGTTCTGTTCAACTCCGTGCACCACGCCCTTTGGTCAGCCAATCGAAAGGCGATTCATGGGCCCATCGGTGGAAAATATCTGCACGCAACCCTAGCTTTGTATACATATGAGCAGTGTTGAGCTTGCCATGCGAGGTTACACATACAAGAGCCGGGAGGAGGTGATCCATCACATTGGGATTGATTTGGCACATGAGTTTCACAAGAATGCTTATGATGCCTTGACCCACAACTGCAATCATTTTAGCCACTCGGCTGCACATCGCCATGTTTTCGGTTCTACGCGTGTAGAAAATTTAAACGAGCTGGCACAGCGCAACTCACTACATATGGAAGGATTCGCATGGAAATGCCAGACTGCAGGCGACAAGCTAATGATGTATTTGACCAACGAGCACTTACCGGAAGAGATTCTCAAGCAGCCGGAGCTTGTCCTGAATTCGCCTGCCGTTCAGCTGGCACGACCTTTCCTGAACAGGCCCGCTACTACTTCCGAAGCTGAGCTTCAGAGTCTCATGAAATTTCGTTGCGCTTCTGGGCTTCTTTCAGAGCGGAGACTAAGATTTCCAAACGAGGCTGTCATGGAGGAACACCGGAGTACTTCACACAGTGTTGATTGCTGGGAAGCAACTGTTTTGGTTATGCTCTGTCCTTTAAGCACGTACGCGGTTTGCGAATTGTCTGGAAAATTTGTCGGTCTAGACTGAGATCATCCCAGACCCTATTCATCTCGTTTCAGTTTTGTTTCATCCACTGTGCGCATAAAACATCAAGCCTTTGCATTTGCCGTCAGCATCAGATTAGCTTACAGCCTCGCGCACAGCATGTCAACCCGGCTAGCATCAGAGACCTGGATGCGACAGGTATGTAAAGTTGTGTGTTTCCTAGCTGACACAACATGTAATGTGCGAGTGTCTAACATGGGGCCCTTACAATTTGACAACAGACACCGCAAAAGGTCATAGTTTGCTCTTCAAACTGCAGTGTCTCAAGCTGCAGGGGCCACCATGCTCGATGGGCAGAGGTTTGCACTACTTGTCCAGATGTGAAGGGTTTAGTCCCATGCTCAACTGAGCTATCAACCGAGACGATGCAAAACATGATTCTGCGGGGGGTTGTCATGGACAAAATCCGGTAGAACCGCGTGCACTCCACAACTTGCATTTTTTCTGGCGGTGGAACATGTGGCACATTGCAGGAAAAAAGGATGCATCAGCCGCAAGTGTTGCAACTTGCCGCAGTCCTAACGGGTCCTAACGGCTTTTTTGCAGGTGGCTCGGCGAATTCCATGCGAAGGGCGAAGTTGCAAGCGAACAGCCTATGGAGTTGATCCAGGCGCGATGGTGTGTCGATTGTGTTCAACTACGAACGGACGGCCATTGAAGCTTTTGTATTCTCCGACCCCACGAGCCGCAAACCATGTCATTGCACTGAACACGTGTTCGCAAGCGTCAGGGTCTAACAGCCTACTCGACAGTAGCCCTCATCTTTCCCATTCCAAGAACGCAGAGGCAGATCTGGGGCCGTCGGCCCTCGTCTCCTTCAGCCGCCGCGAGGGTGGCCTTGGCTTGATCGGCTCCCTGGCATGTATATGCATGTATGATCTTGTGCCTGAACCCTTTTCGCCCCCCCTCCCGTGAGGCATGGTGCCTGTGCCTGTGGTCTTGTTTGCAAACCTTGTCTCCAACTTGTTTGTTCTCCAACCCTGCGCTGAGGGGTGGTGCTTGTCGGGTTGGGTTGGTCTGCGAGTATCCTGTCGTGCTTTGTAGTTGATGTGATATACTCGTAGGTATGGTTACAACATGTTGCACCTGTTCCTGAGTGTCTGTGATTATTTCTGCGCTGGCAACTGCATCCACAGCTTGCCCCCCAAAACATCGACAGTCACGCATGCCAGCGAAGATCCCATCCATAGAAAGCGCAAAGCGCAGACTCTCAGGATCGCATCCTGGATCCCCAGCGACCTTAGTTGCTGTGACTGGTGTCACAGATAGTCTTGGAGAGGGCGGGCAGGGCGGGGTACCTATTTGGGAGGAGGGGGGGGAGCAGCCCGGAAAACGGTTTCATTTACGGCTCTTTTGGGGTTTGTTTTGACCGTCGAGTCATCATGGTGGTTCTGATGTTTCTAGTCCAGTTCCCGTGCATGGACACATCGCCAGCACCAGGTAGGGTGGAGTCGTTCCGTGGCGGTGACCAATGCGCCACGGCCTTGGCAGCAAGTGTCGGCGGAAGCACCGGCTGAGAGTGCAGGAGTTAGTTTGTTTCATGCAATTCGGAGACGCCTCCTCTCCGCACCTTCGAACGCGGTCGGATGCATTAACTTTTGATACTTGCCAGGTGATTACCAGCCTCGATTTCTGGCGACGCTGTGCCGTCGAGCGGTGCCTGCCCAAAGCTCGGATCGGGCAGATTCTGGACCGTGGCCTTCAGAGGCCACACCGCAACTGTATGCGTAGAAATCTGCAAGCGGAGCTTCGGGTGCTAAAACGGAAGCGCTGGCAAAGATGGTTTGACCAGGGCTCGTTCCATCCCAGACATCAACGAGATGCTTATGAATTCAGCCAGAGGCTCCGATGGATTCTCGAGCGCACTGCTTGCTACCTTCTAGGAGCTGCCAAGGTCTGGCCTGGCCTTACTTTGCATTAAAGTTCGCATTCGCATATTTTTCCGTTGCAAACTAAGGAAGGAGCTGCTGTTGGCTTCCCAACCTGCTGGCCCGCTATGTGACTTCCAAAGAGCTGCTTGGCTCAACATGCTGGGCAAGGCCACGGATGATACCACGCAGGGGCTGCATATGGACGCATGAACTCATCGATGCCTGGAAGAGTTTTGGGTTCCCCTCTGTCTCTTGAGGAGGCCGTTCGCGCCAACATCTCCGAGCAACGGGAAAGTGTCCGCTGCCCCCTTGTAGCATATTGAGCCCTGGCCTGCAGCTAGTGGGGTTTGGTGTGCTGAAACATGGGCGGCGTCAAGCATTCGTGTGCAATTTCAAGGAGCGGCTGTGCGCTGCCGTTCGCGGGCCTTCCCAAGGAAGACCTGTTTGTTTGCATATAGAACCTCCGTCGTGCCGAACCAGCCGCGACCGAATCTGCAAAGGGTAAAACTGCACCAGGGGTCCGTGCGCTACACAGCACTGCTGGAGACGAGACCTACCAGCAATATTTGACAATTTTCGGAGTGGAAGGTGAAGGTTCTTCCGCTGACACCGGGTCATACCGGCTCTACGGTACTACAACACAGAAGGTACAAAGCATGTCGAGTCCGCTTTGCTGTGCCGGACTTCGAATCATGCCCGAGGGTGGTGCATCAGCTAGTTAACTTGACGGGCACATTGCAAAATCAGCGCTTGTCGAATCCCATGACTGCAAACAATAAACGAGAAGCAGCCGTGGGTGTGTTTTGAGTCTGGAGCAAACCGTGGTGACTTGAATGGCCCGAATCCATGTGACTGTGGCTCATCCCGTCGAAGCCTCGAAGCAAACGTTGAGTTCCAGGCCTTGCGCCCAGGTCCAGCTGCGGTTGGCACCCGGCCGGGTCCTCACATCCGGCCGCATAGCCGCCTGGGCCTTGCCAAGATTTGCCAACTGAAGCCGTGTAAGGAGGTGAGTAATATATGTAAATAAAGCCATCGTGGAACATTCGCGATCGGGTAATTAGCAAAGAAGCGTGCGCTCAGCAGGTTCCGGCGCAAGACAGGGGTTCGAGCCCCCACTGGTGGCAGCACCCGATCTGCTTTGACGGCTGCCGCCCTGGCAAGGCAAGGCTTCTTGGGGCCACCCAAAGGCCACCTCATGTGCTGGATTGACTGCACAGACCTTTCTGACAGGCTTGGACATGCACGACTGTGGCGGCCAAGCACTTCTTCTACACGGCTTCGAGCAGCAACTGAGGACATACAGGGACGATGGGTGTTGGAAACTTGCTCTAGCTTCGCTTCTGAGGCTGAAAATGAAGGCAGTGCTAGGGGAACAGCGATCATGTTTAGGTTGTCGCCTGCATTTCGCCATGAACAGGACGAGAGGCGGGTTCCGGACAATCCCGAAAAAGTGCTGGACGCTTAGCCGTGGGGTCTGAAACCCTTTGCAGCGAGATCAGCTTGGATAACGAGCCCTGCACAGTGATGCGGACGAGTCAAACTCATCGAACTGTGCACTGTATCCAGCAACATGAAGCCAAGAGACATTGCTATGGTTGTAGAATGTTATGGACGAGATATCCCAAGGTGGCATCTTGCTGACTGTGCAGCAATACTCGAACCACTGACTTGCGTTGATCTTTGCGGCTCAGCGTAGGTTGAAGGAAGCGTGTCTTGGCCCATTGAGATGAGCCCGCTGAGACGTCGGACCTGGCGGCGTTCATGCACTGCAAAGCAGAGCTCACTTTTAGTTTATCATCTTCTTGAGCGATCTCTACTACGGGATCTTTCATTTTTGCACGTGCCGGCAGAAGTTTCTATTTCGTCATCTCTACCAGATGGGACCCCGGCTTAGCAATCTTGCAATTCCTATACTGCCTATACTGAAGCGAAAGGTTCCGGGAAGCTTTCGACGTGGAGGTCCAACAGATCGTGCTGTTGTTGGAGCGCCTAGAGGCCAGCAGGAACCAAGTGCTGAGCAAGTGCCAGAGCTGTAATTTTCCAGGAACTATAGTATCGGACATGACTCCTCCGCATAGATCCGAACAAATCCAAAGTTTCGGGCTGTTCGTTCAGCTGTGCAGTGTTGGTTGCGAGTGTGGGTCGTGGAAATGGAATCGACAGATCAGAATCATGATTTGCTTGTTGCTGTTCGTGTTGCACTGACCTTGGCACTGTCGAGAGTGATAGGCCACTTGGGCTTGGATCTGGTTGGTTGATGTTGTTGTTGCCGGCGGCGGGTACTCTAAAGTTGCTGCCGCTTGTTGCGTCAGGGTTTTGGGGTTTGGAATTCAAGGGGTGTGGCCTGCAAGGAAGCCTCGCTAAAGCAAGCCGGACAGGCCATGTAAGGTGGCACAAGCAAATGCCACGTGAATTCACAATGCACATCCTCAATGTTCGCATGTCATGGCTTACGCCCGAACAAGCTGCCCAAGCAGTCCCACAGAACAGGATTCGACTCGCGCGCCTTACTGTACCAGGCCTTACGTCCGGATCTTCCTGACCGAGGCCTGACAGAAGACGGCCCTTGTGACCGGCACCTTTCGATGTGCGGCGGTTGACGTGGGAACGCACAGCACGCCGCAAACAGGCGTCAACCAGGATTTCGCCATGAAGCTCAAAGCAGCCCCATGGCCAGTCACGGCCAGCACACATGGTTGCCGCATTGAAGCACGCCAAACCGCAGAGGTCAAGCAGCTGTCACCAAACCAGGCAGGAGGCAAGCCATCGTCAGAGGCTTGATTCGGCTTGATGGTTTGCGGAGCTCGCTTCATGACGATAGCAGCATGTTTTCGAGAAGCAACGAAGAAAACAAACACTCCTGAATCATTCAAACCATCTGCTGAGGTGGCGAGAGGCTTTTGAGGCAGATCCGGCTGCCGCGCCAGGGTTTTTAGCGAGCTTTGGTCTGTGTGTTATTGCCCTCCTGCGCGAGTATGCCATTTTCGATTTCGTACATGTCAGAAAGTCTACAGTGACAGGCGCAGCCGCCGGCTCAAGATAGTAATTAATTAGCTGCTGCCGAAGGCCGAGTTGCTTGGACTCGGGACCATGCTTTCTTTCGGGTTGTCAACAACGCAGGCATTGGGGGGTGGGTGGGGCGGGGTGGGCTGGACGGGCTCACACGTGCATACTTGGCAACTTGCGGAATCACGGTTTTGGCAGGTAGACAAGACAACCGTTCAAGTCGTTGTTGGTGGAGCGGCCTGCTTGTTGTCTGCGGCAGCTCTCAAGCAGTACTTCCACCAGTGCCTCCAGCAGCAGCAGTAGCAAAGTTGGCATTTTCGCAAGACGCAGCCTGATGCAGCTTTCAGATTCTAAGCGCATGCACGTGCTGCAGCATCAGGTGCCAGCCCAAGGGATGCACCGTGCTCACCAGACCGGGGCTGCTGGGTTGCCTTCCAGATATGTGGAAGAACTTCAGCCAGTGTCTCGGCCGAGGCAGGGGATAGGTGTGCCACAGCGGCGACAGGCCGGTCTCACGCGGGAGAGGTGCAAGCTTGTGGGCTAGGCGTGCGGCCGGCGGACAGGGTCGTAAATCCCAAAATGCTGTTTGTGCAACGACCATGTCGTTGCACTCGCTCGACCCAGGAACACAACCCACAGCAATTTGGCCGAGTATCATGAGACAGATGGTGACACGCTTTACCTTCACTGCGGTGTACTGCAATACTTCATGCGACCCTTGGTGATTACCAGAGATCCTCGCAATGTTGAGTACATGCTCAAGACGAACTTTGACAATTTCCCGAAGGGTGAAGCTTTCCATGATTCTGTGCACGAGTTGTTGGGAGACGGCATATTCAATGCAGATGGCGACCTTTGGTACAAACAGAGGAAAACGGCTTCGCAAATGTTTACCGCCAGCAGGTTCAAAAATCACATTTGGAGACTTGGCTGGTTCTAGGGACACTTCAAGCTTCTGTAATATGAGCTTTCGGTACGCATGTTTCGACCACAGCGCATGCTAAGACCCTTTCGTGAGCATGCTATCATAGCTTAACCGTGGATGGTTGCTGCAAAGAATTCCAAAGAAGTGGTGTGGACACAAACGGAAGAGGAGGACCTGCGGCAGCATAGCAGTGCAGAGAGACGTCACAACAAGTTCTGCAGAAGCACTGTCGCCACAGTCCAGCCCGACGCCACACACCGAAACATAACCATTTGTAAAGTCGTGTCTGAGGGAGGCATTGTGGCCCATGAAGCCCAGGCGAGTTCTGCAGCGGAACTGCGAGAAGGTATTGGAAATATTGTCTAACAACCCAGATCCGGTGGTTGACCTTTTCAACTTGCTGAACCGCTTCACGCTGGACTCGATCGGAGAGATCGGATTTGGAACTTCCATCGGTTCATTGGAGAGTCCCGTGACACCGTTCCTGCGCTCGTTTGATGAGGCGCAGAGGATTGTGTTCAGGCGATTCGTGCTGCCAGGTTGGCGTGCCTCGGTATTTCCGTTCCTTCCTCCTGGTCCTGGTCATGTAGAAACATATCATTTATCAACTTCGCAGTCAAAGCGTTGACTTGCCAGCCTCAGGTCTCTTTCAGTTCTTCGCCGTCGGCTCCGAAAGGGAGAGCCGATTCCACATGCGAAGCCTGAGGGAATACAGCAAAGGCATCGTGGAGCAGCTGTCCCGGTCGCTGGATACCGAAGCCGGTGACAGTTTCGTAGGCCTCTTCATGAAGAGCGAACCAAGCTCATCAACGGATTTTCTGGTGGATTTAGTGCTGAACTTCCTCATCGCCGGCCGGGATACCACAGCTCAAAGCATGTCCTGGTGCCTCCGACTCCCTGCAGTCAGCTCTGTGTAGACTATTGATGTCAGCAGAGTAGATTTGGTATAGACGGCTGGCGTAACACCCCGTACTCGTAAATCGTAGTTTGAACAGGTGCCTCTACCTTCTCGCTCAGCATCCCGAAGTAGAAGAGAAGATTCTCGACGAGCTTCAGACCGTTTGTGGAGAAGGTGCGCTTGACTACGATCACCTCCGTGAGCTCAAATACCTTGAGGCAGTCTTGAAGGAGTCCCTACGCCTTTACCCTTCCGTGCCTCTCGACTCAAAGACCACACTACAATCGGACACACTGCCCGATGGCACATTTGTTCCACGAGGGACGCTTCTGGTCTACAACTCCTATGCCATGGGCCGGTCCCGGACGATCTGGGGCTCGGATGCGGCTGCCTTTCGGCCAGAGCGTTGGCTCCTTGAAGACTCGAAAACCCCGTACGAAAATCCTGTTTTCCATGCAGGGCCACGTGAATGCCTCGGCAAGCGCCTGGCGATTGTTGAGATGAAAGCCATGATTGCATCACTTCTGAAGCATGCCAGCCTGCGCCTGGCTGTGCCACCGGAGAACATCCGGCCAGACACCGCGGCAACCCTTGGCATGTCCTCTGGCTTGCCGTGCCATGTCCAATTACGAGCTGCATCTAAAACAATATAGGTCGAAAGTGCAATGTGCAGCCACCACATGCAGCCGAAAGCAACACAAGGCTTGCTTGCCGCGGCTGTTGTAAAACGCTGCCTCTGCTGATGGAAATCTGGTTCGGCAACTATTATGTAATCCTGGCGTCGTGGAAGCTTTTTCAGGCAGCGAAGCAAGTGACCGTCTCCTTGGAGGAACTCTTGGAAGAGGCACGGCAGTGCGTTGCGTGGGATAGATTCCGCAGCACTCGAAAAGCTGTGTTGAACCGCTTGCCAGCCTGGCTCACATGTGCAGAAACCGAGAGCACAACGCATCAAACTCGCACAGGGAAGTTCACAAAAGCACTGGCCCAAGACGGACTCCACCTTTCAGCGTCGCATCCTCTTTCAATCAAGATGGTCGCTGCCATGGTCACGATAACAGCGCTAACGTGGGCTCAAGCTGGGGCAGCCGGCAATCTGCACGATCAGGGACCCGACGTGTAGCTCGGCAGAGTTCATCCTTGAAGCTGTCTGACTCATGAACTCCTGAGAGGCTACAGTTATACTACAGCAGTTCGCTCATTCTTCTGAAAGACTTCGAGCCCGTCCTGGGTTAGCCGGAAAAAAGCTAAGGTTCGAACTCTGCCGAGGCCTGCAGTGTAGCCTCGCATCTGCAAACTTGCGTGATACAGGCAGTCACGGTTTGAAGATTCCATGCAAGCAGCTAGCAGCACTATCGGCTCCGCAGACCCGATTCCTGAGCCGCGATTCTGGCGTGCGTCAGTGAGTCCGCGGATCGCCAAAGTGAAGGCACGCCGAGGACCAGAATCTTGGAACCTGCGCAGAGTGTCACTATCGGTGTTCCTTTCAGCGTCTTGTCCATGTGGCCTGTACGAGTTGATAAACTGCAGGAGGATGCTTGCAGAAGCTCCATGCAACATGAGTACATTTGAGTACATGCCCAGGCTGGAATGAGCTGCAACATCCGATCACGATGAACACTTTCTCTAGAGCTGGAGCATTTCCTGCTGTCTGGCTACACACACCCTTGCCAATTTCCGTGTGACAAGTTAGCTGTTGCTGCAGCCATGACTCATGACACAGTTCACATCTGCTCCTCGCGGATGCACGGCCAAGGAGTTGACCGCCGAACTCGCTTTCGATTTTCCCAAAGGGACACTTGTGGGGCAGGTGCTCGGCAGCAATCAAATCAGATTCTAGTGCCGGGGCATGTGACTACACATCTGACCAGTCTTGTCATACAGTTGTTTTCGTTTCGCGAGCCATGAATCGTGTGACATTGTCAGCGGGGATGGGGAGCTTCGGGTAATCCCCGACGCCCTAAACCCACGGCTTTGTCGTTATTTCATCCCATGCTTCGTATCCCCCAAACCTCAAGCAAGCAGCTGCTTTTGTTTTTTCCCACTGTGTTCAGTGCTTGGGATTGGCCCGTCGTGTTCTGTTACAGCCATGTGCTCCGTTTGTTCGGCCTGTGCCGGCAGCAGGTGGTTTTCTACCTGTCACGTCGTTCGCTGTCTGAGGGCATACGCTGCCATCTGTGGAGCTTACAACGGAGGTGATGGGTACCAACTGTTCCTTGTTGGAGCCAGAGGGCGTGCTACGTCTTCAGGTTTTCGAGCCGAGGTGCCCCACCGACAGGGGTTGCATGATTTACTGCATGTCAGTTTCATGTCGGGAAGTTACCGCCAGGAAAGCTGAACGAGATGATGCTGCAAGCCTGGAGACCGGATGGGTGACCCTGAGTGCTGAAGCGCCACACGTTTTCAAATTGATTGCAAAGCTGACCAGTAGACTTGTCATACTCATGCCAACTCGGTCAAGCAACGAGGAAGGGTGGCCCTCGCTTCTTCCAGCTCGTGGGGCTGGACGAGGTAGATGCGCTGTCTGCCACATCCGGCGCTCAGCGCTGCAAAGCGGAAGGTACCGAGACTCGATTGCCTTGTGCGTTGTCTGGCCTGCCGTCATGGTTGTAGTCTTTGTGTTATATCTGCCATTACAGCGCCTTCCTGCATGATTCGGCTCCCAGGACAAAGATTCGGGACTGAAATCACGCAGCGAGCGTGTAGCGCTTGCAGCCTGCGAAGAGGAGCCGCGAAGCTTATGCAGAGCCGGTGGCTCAGCCCAGGCGGCAGTCGAAACGAGTCGAAGCTCTGTAGCCGGGTACAGCGTAGCACTTCAGGCCAGTGGCCGCATCGTCAACCTTGACCCAGAGATGTTCAAAGAAGTTTCGACATCGGATGAGCTCTGGATCGTATCTTCCTTCACTCCCTGGTGCCTACGCTGCCCAGACTACATGGCATACCTGGAAGCAATGGCCCAGGAATTACCCGACAACAGCCCTGTGCACTTCGGTGCGCTGAACTGCCATGTCAACAGGAAGTTCTGTGCTGACTTGGGCCTTATTGGTCATCCCATGGTCGGCCTTATCGATGGAGGCACGCAAGGGCGAAGCATGGCGAAGCCAAGCTCAAGCAAGCTCTGGCTCCGTGCGAGGTGAAAGCTTGAGTGTGAGCTCAGCCCTCGAGGACTTCCTGCAGAAGCGCCCGGCAGCAGAGTGGCGACCGGAGCGACACTAGGCTCAGTCTCCTCCAACCGTGCAACAACGATGACATACAATTGCTCTTTCCATGTGCCCTCACTGAGGATGGAGTTTTGCTGTGGAGCTGTGCCGAAGCTGGATGGACTGCCCATGCATCTTAACCAGAGCCTGAACGGGTAGTAGCATTGGATTCGCGAGCTGCAAGGTCTGCCCTGTTTGCCTTGCTACCAGAAAGTTTCCGACCCTCGGCGAGCCGCCCGCAACAGCCGGCGATTGCTGGTGAGACATCTTTATGCCGCTGGCTGAGTTGTGGAGATTCTGATCGCGGCGATCCCACGTCAACTCTCATGTTTTTATTGTCTCAGGTGTGGAAAGAGGGACAAGCGGTGCTGGCATTACGAGCGTGGGCCGAGACCGGAAAACGCACATGCCATCAGTTGCAGCGATGGCCGATGCCATGCAAGGCCTTGCGGAGACCCTGGAGATTCCCGGGTTCGTTGTGAGCCTGCGCCAGCTCTCTGCACTGCATTCCTGGTTGTCTCTGTTAGAGGATCGGCTGCCTCCCGACTCTGGGGGCATGAGCTTGAAGGACCATGTTGCCCCTGAGCTCCAAGCTCTGGTCAGGTTTTTAACAGATGTGTTGAACCTGGGATCAGCAGCGGCGGCTAGCTTTGCCCTCTGCCGCAAAGAGTGGGAGATGGCAGCAGATCCTTTGAGAAAGCAGCTGCTCGCGGCCAGTGATCTCCTCCGTCTTCAAGCCGGAGCCTCTCAAGGCGACTGTCATGGTCCTGCTTGCCGCGCCTGGGTACTCCTTCACAGCCTCGCTGTTTGGGAGACATCAGAGGTTTCAACCAACTATATTTCCGTCGAGAATACTCTGAAGGCCAGGAACCTAAAGTTGCACGTCAGATAGATCCCACCCCCTCCAGGCTTCCTTGCACGAAACCACCTCCTGTTTGCCGTCTTGTTTCGCAGGTTGCCGCAAACCTTTTCTCCAGGCTTTCGTCGGAGCTTTCCCAGACGACGAAGGCTTGGATCCCCTCGAACAGCCCAGCGTCCTGGCTGGGATATATTGACGCGTCGGACGACATCAAGGATGCGCTGTCCTTGGCAATCTGGCGAGTACATGGTGCAGCATCAGCACGTGCTGCTCTGGAGTGCAACGCCAGCTCCGTTCCGGACTTGCGGTGGCCAACCGGCAAGGATTGTCCTGATTGCTGGCGTCGATGTTTTCGTCGAGGTCGATTCTGTTGGAGCCCGTGGGAAAATGAGCGGCAGCTGGCAGCAGCAAAGGTGCCTGAAGGCTTCGCCGACGCCATTCCAAATCATTCACATGTTGCCGAGCTGCTGCGGTCCAAGTACGGACCCAGGCACAGGGAATACGCAGAAAAGCCGCTGTCTCTCTGCAGCCTGCGCTTCAGCTCGAGCCACAAACCACCTAAGCATTCCTAAGCCCGGAGCCCTAAAGCCTGACAAGTTGCAGCCCTGAACCCTGAGTAAACCCACGAACCTTGTCGGACTGCTGCCGGTGTCCAGGCCCGGACTATGCCGCCTCTATCAGCTGCAGCGGTCCAAGCACTTGACGCTTCTGAGTAGGGTAGTGAGACATTGACACGGCGATCCAAGACCGCAATGAAAGCTGAACGCAGCAAACGGTCGAGATCTCTACAAACCTGAGAGAACCCAAGGACTTCGAGGACTTTCCGTCCACTGGCCAAGGCAAGCAGCGAGTGTGAAAGTCTATTCCTTCCCCATGCCGCCAAATGTTGTTTCATTGACGCGATTGTCGTCTGAGAAAATTGTAGGAGTTGTATCAAAACCAAGCACAGTAACGCTCAATTGGCCAAGGCTCCGAACTCAGTTTCCTGAACTAGAAGCAGTGATGTTATGGTGGGCATGGAATGGACTTCCTTTGTTGCCATACGGTTTTTGTGTCAGAGGTTCTGGCACATAGTTGGAAAGCCTCGGCTGTTGCAGACCTGATGCCTTGGTTTCAGGAGCATGTCTCCAGCATGGCAAGAGATGAAAACGGGGCAGTAGTCGAGTCCCTTGTGAACTCTAGCGAAAGCATCGCATCGCGCATATGAGGTAAGCAAACATGGGCGTCCTTCAAATATTGACCAGTTGTGCTCTGCTTGCATTTTTGTAGCTTCCAAGCATGATTCTTCTTGATCCCGTTATCTCTCTCTCTCTCTTACATGTTTTCTTTCTGCATGTCGGTAGTATGCGAGCAGTTCCGTTGGATTTCTGGTGCACAAGAAAGGGACCCTTTCCTGGCATAATCCTGGCCTTTGTCCTACGCGCATCAGGTAACGATGGAGCATCTACGGACTCGACGACCACGCCTGTGCAAGTCCAGGCATGGCTTGATGAGCTCGAATAGAATTAATCTGTAGCGCCATATCGTAGAAATTGGACAGGAGCCCGAAGAAGTCAAGAATTTGGAGGCCAGGGCTGCCGACATGTATGCCTTGGTGACATGAAAGCGGCAATCCTTAAAGTGTACGATGATTCGCAAATCAAGTGGCCTCTAGACCTAAAAGCACCCTGCTGCTGTTTGAGGGTGTATCGGAGAAGATCATCGAGGATGAATCCGTTCTCCGCTTCATTGCCATGCCTCTGCCTCGCTGGCGCTGCTGAAACATTGTCTCCAAGTCATTGCTCCGAGGCCTGTTCTGGGGTTGGGCCAGCGTGGACCTTACGGGCAGCAGTTGGAATCGGCCCCTGTGTATAGCTGTATAGCCATTGGTTCTTGAGAGTGTCAAGGAGTGGGGATGGTGCCAGCCTGCCTTCCGTGGAGAAGGCCTGCCATCACACTTTCTGCTGAGAGGGGCTTGGTGGATGGATGATGTTGTCTGGATCTGTACAAACCGTTCAATTAGAACCGCCTGCCCTTTCACCCCTTTAGGAGTAGTGGCCGGCTAATGCAGGAACCACTCAAATCAGCACTGCGCATTTTGGCACACAGTGTGTGACGCCCGATGAGTTTCTCAGAAATCTGGCAAAACTTTCAGCCAGGTCACCCCAGCTCGCCCCGAATCTCTTGCCATTGCCATCGCGAGGTTGCTCTCGCCCAAGGTCACCTTAGGTATCCTTAAAGCTTTTGTTTGACCCTCCTAACAGCAGAATAGCCCCTGGCTCTGCCCCGTCGTCTCGACGTTGCTTCTGGTGGCAGGGTGAGGTGGGCAGGGGCAGGAGATTTATTTCGAATTCTCAAGTCTGAAGAGGAATGCAGAGATTACCGGCAAGCTTTCGAAACGTCTGGCCTTTACGGAAGCTTTCTGCACGGTCTGAGGCTGTGATGCTTCTTGGGCCCACAAATGAAGTTTCCCGATCCGTGGCACCCTCCAAATTCTGGCTGACAAGCGTGGTTGGTGTTGCCGCCGCAGTGACAGAGCGAAGGGGTTGTTCGGATCTGAGGTCTTCTGCTTCCTCGAGAGTCGAGGTATAGTCCAGGTAGGTTCATGTTCTGTTAAGGTATGTTACTGTATTGTCACCTTCGCAGTCACAATGTCCTGAAAGGTTAGCCTTATAGACACCGGTGTATACTCTTATCACCCGAAGCTCTGTATTAACGAGTGCTCTTGCGCTTTTGCTAGATTAGCAAGCTCACGGAAATGCCACGAAGCCTGCTCAGCACAGTGCCGCTGGATCAGCGCAGGTACGACGTGCTTTGGGTGCTGACTGTTTCATCGTGCAGTCCCAGGTGCTTTTCGACCGCCCTGTCCCCGGAGCATCTTCTTGCAAAAGCGTCGGCAGGGTCGTCGCGATGCCGCAGCTAAAACAGATGTGTGCGAAAGGTGATTGGCCAGATGTAGGATGATGTGCAGTCGAAGCACAGTTAAACACCTCAGTGCCGGTTCTTCCCACTTGAAGAGAGGCGAAACTGGTGGTCCCTGAACCTGGAAGGGTCATATGTAGAGTCCGGGTTTGAGTGGGATTGCGATGTCCGAAAAGGGCAGCATGGCCTGGACAGGGGCGCCTTTGCATTGCAGAAAATGGGAGTTGGCCGATCGCAACTGCTCGTATGTGGTTACCCCTGCGGTCATTGTGATTTTCCAACGGAGCAGATTGCCCAGGCACAGTCATTGGGGGTGATCAAAGACTCGGGAAGTCCGATAATCAGTTGAGCTTTCGGAAATCAAGGATCGAGCGGTTTCAGACACGAGTCAGGAAGGATACCGTGCGGAAATCATCAGATTCTGATCCCTGGCATGATGACGATGACCAGCAAGAACAAAAGAACAAGAACCGCAATCTGGGCAGCATCATTTCTCCACACCAACTTAGGCGAATGATTTCTGTCACGCTATCGCCTGGAAACAAGAGTTCGCTCGCAGCAGCAACACAGTTCCCGGTCACAGTCCCATCAGGAGCCGCTGCCTCACAAAAGAGTGAGGGTCTCGTTCGAGCTGACGACAAAGAACATGTCTTCCCAACATATCTGTTTGAGCTGTTGGATGCCGGTGGATCCAACATCAAGAAAGTGAGTGCTGTCCGTGTTGATCGAGTTGATCTTCGCCAACTCATGACCTGTCTACCCTGCCAAGGGATGGGCAATCAGTTATAAGAACGTTGAAAGCGCCCTACGAGAGGAAGGGCGGAACTATGCTAACGAGCTGGCTACCTACGGAATACCTCAAGCAAATCCTTTGAGGCCCTGAGGTTGAGAGGTCGATTTCTCACAGTGATGCCAATCAGCTACTTTACCCGGTGGTAGTTTCCAAAGGAAGCCCCGGAGTTCGTGTGGGAGCGTTGGATTGCTGCATCAACCAGCCACCAATTTCGTGACAGTTTCGTCCCGACCCGGCGCCACTCCTGAAGGTTACTCCTATTCAAGTTTAAATACCTCGGGTTACCTCGGACGATGCGAATACCGTGCTAGTACTGAAAAATCCGATGGACTGACGCGGGGCTCAGATTGGCTTCAATTAACCTCAGCTAACAGGTGTCTACATCTTCACCGGGCAGGCACGGCTGACCCCGTTCAGAAAAGAAATCAAGACTCAAGCAGTCAAGTGCAGGCATCTGTGCACACCGGTCAACAATGCTTGGTCCATTCCGAGTCACTTTGTGCGTGTGGTGAGGGATGCGGGTCGCGTGGGATGCACTAAAGGTTGCGTTCAAAAGCGTAGGCAGCCTGTCTCTAGACTTGCGGTTCTCCATGGTTGATGAGGGTTTTTCGATGCAGAGACAAGGCTCAGTTCCATGCCATGTGTGGGTCTTGGCCTTGGCATCTATTGGCAAATTGTTTGCTGTCGGGCCGATTCGATCCGTCAAGGAATAAGCTGTTCTTGAACATCTGAGTTTTTTGACTTCTAGAGTATACATCTTGGTGCATGCCCAAAGTATGATGGTATTGTGCAGCCTTTGGGCCAGCCGTTGTGGGATCCTGCAGGTGGCTTCAGATGCCACGCCTTCCGCAGCATTGGCTGCGATGAGAAAGCGACTGGCCGCCTGATTGAAATGCTGCCAGCTGTGTCCAATCCCAGTAGAACAGAATTGCCGGATGTCCTGAGAACAGGCCCGGAACTTTCCGAAGCCTCCGCAAGAGCTGCTAAGTTGAGTGTTCGCATGACTGTTCTCATTGGTGGGGTTTGGTGGGGTCTGGGATGGGTAGACTAAAGCAAATTTTGTTGACCGGCTCCTCAGGCAGCCTTGTCAAGCTCAGCTGAGCTACACGGCCAGATATGAAAGCATGCCGTGCATGAGTCTCTCGCTCTTTGCAGTTGATGTCAGACGCTTGTCCGTGGTGAGCTCTCATTGTCAGATGTGGAGTTCACACAAGCGTGACGACCAAGTCTTCTCGTGTCTAAGGCTCTTCTTGCAGCCGACCATGAATTCCGGACAGTGGGGAGCCAAGACGACTTGACAAATAGAGTGAGACAGGATAGCTTCCGAGCGCCTGTCTGGAAATCCGTGCTGGCACTGCTGTGCGTTCAGTTCTGAGTGCTGCGGGGCACGGAGATTCTACAGGAGTGCGTTGCTCGTCATGCTCCGGGATGACATGCCGAGCGGTGACTTCTTGTGGCTGGCGCCTGAGAACTGAAACCCCTTCATCTGCCTGCTTGCCACAGCATTGTCAACGACAGCCACCAATCAAATGAGAGTGTTTACACGGCTGGTCAGCATGGATCAGCTTTTGTGTGGGATTTGCGACCATCAAGACAATAAGACCTAAGATTGCCACAACTCTGGCTTGCCGGCTGTAGATCCATAAGAAACAGCACTGAATCCGAAGGTGGCAGTGGATCCTGTGTGGCTTCGCATTGGTTGTTTGTGACTTAGTGCTTCCCGAATGTCGAGCTCAGTGTTCGCTGACGTGCCCTTGCAACCGCATGGCTTGAGAATTAAGATCATTCGATGTTGATATCTGAGAGCAGTCTGAGAGGATGGTGAGGCAGCCGTGTCACTATTGCAGCTGGAGGCCTCCGTGGTGTCGGTGAACTTCGAAGCATTCACAGCTGTCGCCTGAGTGCCTACTAGGAGTATTTGCGGCTGAGTTGCTTACCAGTCGAAGTTGCTTGCGCCTACTGCTGCCAAGTTTTTCAAGTTGACCGCCCTATCTACAAAGAGGCATGCTTTCTGCTGTTGGGTAAAGTCGAGTGAAATCCAGGTATCCCCGCTGACTTCGGAGCAGTTCGCTGTGTGCGGCCTATACTGAAGGCAGTTAGCCAGCGGAAACAGCTCCAGCTTTCGGCATGCATAAACAAATACTTGATCCAGTCTGTGGTGGAGCTTCAAGTGATGCGAGTCGCCCAGGTAGTGAGCATAAACGAGCTCCCGGCGCTTGCCAGGCAAACGGCACCATCAGCCCGGGCCCGAGACAACTGTGTGTGATTGTGTGTGTGTGTGTGTGTGTCTGTGCTGAAGCACGATGCAGCATCTCTCGCGTGAAGTTGCAACTGCAGGCTGCATGCATTCTGGCCGTAGTCGCAGCCATGGAGGTGTGCACAGTTGTGGGTCGGCCGGAAGCATTCAGTATTGAGAGCGCCGCTGCTTGCAGGAGAAGCTTTGGGCGTGTCCATGCATGTTTCGATGCCTTGTATGCTACTAGCCTCCCTTGTACAAGAAACACTTTGAATTTGCTTTCGATTTCTGCATTTCCAAAACCCTGAACTTCAGTGGATTCTTTCTTTGAGTCGCCCACCAGGCAGCTAGGAGAGTGGCAGCGGCCAAGCTCGCTTCTGAGTCTGTCAACTCACGACGCATTAGAGCCATTAGAGAGCACGCGCTGTGACACCACGGACAACTCATACGACATGGAGAGTCTCAGTTGCATACTTCTCGCGCCACCAGGGGCTGCTACTAACCCAGCCGTGAAATTGTGTTGCTTGCACTGTTGGCTCACAGCCTTGTGACGTGGCAACAACTTGGCAGTACCCGCCGATAGTGAGCTTGACGCCATGTCGAACGCCAAGGAGCGGGTCTTCCACGCGGCGAATCTGGATGCCGTCAACGCGGCCCATCCTCACATGGATGATCCCAGGTTCATCTCGCTGACCAACCAGTCCAACAACTGTATTCTGCGCTTTACGGTCTTTGCGCGCTGTGCGCGTGAGCTGGGGGAAGAGGACACGAGGTGGGCCGCGTCTCCTCGTACGTTTAGTCATGCCTGTCTCTCTGTGGACGGCAGGTGCAAGTATCAGTACTACCGAGCCCAATGCGCTTGCCCTGAGTCCCAGCTGGAGGACAGTGGCAGAGATACGGCTGTTGTCGTCAATGAAGCTGCGATACACGTAGACAGTCATGCCCCAAAGTACATATGGCTGCAGGCCTGGTTCGGCTCACCATAAGCTGTTGCCTACGATAGTTTGATTTCATAAGAAGCAGCAGCTGCAGATACAACAATGCCTCCATGAGCCTCGGGCTGACTGCAGGATAAGCGGAGACAACGAGACGTTGATCTCGAAACGGAGAGGTTCAGAAGTCTCGATGTGTAAGCACTGGTCATTTGACAGCTGTGCAAGCTCATGCACTCGGCACCTTTTCGTGCCGGGAACCTTCTCCAAAATCAACATGAATCCCAACAGAGACGTAGGGAGAGCCGGAGAGCATCCAAAGAATCGAATCCGTCAGCTCAAATCCCGCACAGTACGGAGCGAGCTAAACCGAGTGTTTATGGAGGACTGGATGGAGCATCGTGCGCGTGGCTCCTGCCACCTGGACGTTCTGCCTGATCGAAGCACTGTGCACTGCAAGCAGTAAGCTGGTGCTGAGCCTGAGCCTGCGGGCAGTATCGGGCAGCCGTTCTTATCAGAGGAGGGGAGCAGAGTCTTTACATCCATGAATAGAGTCATGGAATCCTTGCGGAGCAACCTCTCATCCTCAAGAGGCTGGCCGACCTGTTTCAGTGAAGGGATGCTGTGTCTTTTTGATCGGTATAGGTCTGGCGACTCCGTCATGCGCTCTTCCAGCATGTCAGCAAAAGAACAGTGCACGATTGTGGTTTGAGAGAGCTGACTCCGCTGCATCCGCCATGCATCTGCTGCTCGAGACGTTTGCTTGCATGGTGCCCTGGCACCCGGAGCCGCTAAATCAAGCTGAGAGAGACTTCCTGCCGTGAGTGTCTCCAAGGACGCCGTCATGTGCAGGTTTCCTGACCATTGTCATGCTTCATGGGAGTGTCACAACAGCTGCGGAGGACAATGGATTCGCTTAGCGATGAGAAGAAGTGTGCGATCAAAGTCTGTGGCCGGAGACTTAGCTCTGCAGGATTTGTGAGTTTTCTTCGTTCCGCCTTGCTAGTGGGTTTGGGACAGTGACAGCACAGGTGGGGGTTGCTGCCTTGGCTGGCTAATCTTCTTCATTGTCCTGGGGACCAGCGCACCTGGGCGTGAGGAGGACACCTTGGAGAATCGCACATCGCGTTTTGAGCAGTTGCCGTTGCGTTTCGAGGTCGTGGCCATAAGTGTCCAACTGCCCGTACTGCCACTGCCAAGGTAAAGTACGTGAACGACAGGCAGCAGGTGGTGTACATCAGCAATACTGGGCGCACGACAGAGCAGGGTCCTTTCACGAAGATCATCTGGCCTTCGACTAGGCCAGGGCAGCAAACCCTGAAGGACCTGACGAGTAGAAAGCGCACGTGCGCATCGGAAAGCTTTTGTTCTCTTGACTTATATACAGCTTTGCCATGAAGACGACAAGTGAGTCGACCTGGTGAGGCACGAGATCCGCGATGCGATTATGGTAACCGCTCGTCAATATGCAGTCCTGAAGCACGAGAGGACGCAGCAACCGGGCTACAAGCTAGAACATGTCTAAGCCACCGATCTTAGACAGCCACTATCCTGTGACGAGGCCAGCTTCTTCTGCACCGCCAGTTCAATTTCCAAGCTATACGTAAATTTCCAGTAAGGAAGTGCTTGCATGTGTGTGTGTGTGTGTGAGAAGCTATCAGCACAACTAAGCTCCGGAGCTTTGTCGTCTTTTGGTTATTGATTTTGCCGAAAGTTGGAGCCAAGGCTCTTGCGACATGAGCCTGGGCCTGGGCAGGCCCGAAGTCCCGGATGTCCCTGCAACCCGAGCACGCACGCCTGCCCCTGCGCCGATGAAGGTGTTCATGGATGCCTGGGAGAGCCTAGTTGAGATCAAGGACTCCGTTTCAGTGTCCGTAAGGGGGCATGGTGAGCGATGCGGAGTTTGAATGCAGCGGTTGGGCAGCTCGGACTCGTGTGGGGTCCTCCCGTTTAATGATAATCTTAAATGGCCCCGCAGCCTTGTCACAGGTATCTGCAATGCACATGTCAGCCCTGACACTCTGCCAGGGATTCGGTTGAAACGATGAACACACACTGGGCAAGCGCTGCCGATAGGTTTACCAACATGCCCTGGACATGGGCAGTCTCTTGGCAGGAGAAAATTGTGCTGCAGAAGATGGAGTATGTCCGACTCATTGACAGGCTCACAGGTCTCGAGCGTGTGGCAGCTCGTCAGCTTGGTGCAGTTTTGAGTTCAGCGTGGAGCAGATGAAGCACTCGTCTTCATCTACTTATTGTGTGCTGAATGTGGTGTGCATTCGGATTCGGTGAGGCAAGGAGTTACAGAACGGAGAGCATTGGAGACACATGTGCATCGCATCGGCTGAAGTTCTTTGTTGGCTCGTCGAGATTTTTCTGAAGTGGCAGCAGCTGAGCAACCGCCTTTTCATCGTCGTTGGCTGCTAGGGCTGCTAAGGAGGGCGGCCCACAAATCTTGGTGCCAGAGCCGAGAGAGGTGGGGTCTAGGTAACGCAAGCGAGACCTCAGCATGGCAAAAAGCTCAGAAGCATGCCACATGAAAATCCTGTTCAGATTAAACGGGAAGTCTTCGAGTACGTAGTTACACTATGCCTTGCATGTCTTTGCTTCCCTGCCCGATTCTCCTCTCCGGGTCTGGTACAAATCGGCAGCACACCCGGCGTCCTGCTCAAGACCACGAAACCTTCATAATACCGAAAAGGTCGCCCTCCTGTTTGCCTTTTCTGTTCCGCTTGAGCTTGCTTCCCAACTCATGCTTGTGTGCATGCCGCACCCCCGAGCCTCGAAGCATGCACATCTTTCATGGACGTTCCAGCTGCTTTCCCACGACGTTCAGCATGCGCATTTACGTTTTTCAGGCCCGCACGGCAAACAATGGATCATGCCACGCTTGGCAGGAGTGGCCTTCTGGTGTGGAGACAAGCATTGTGATCGGCCAGACCAATGCTGTTCTTGTTGAGACCCTTGCCGCTGTTTGCGCATGGACAGCGAATGATGTGCGGCTGAAAGTGCAGCAGGCGGAAGAAGACTTGAGAATTTTAAGTCAGTGTGGGGTCCTTTAGACCTGCTAGCAGCGAGCCGATTACCGTCTCTGAGGAACAAGACTTCTGGCATGAAGAGGTTGGTGACAGCAAAGGGCATGTTCGTCCCTGAACCCTATGCCTCACAGCTGCAGTTGTAGACTGTCGATACGGACGCTGACTTTCTACCCTGCGGTTATTTGCAGCAATTTGCACGAGCTGCGAGATACTGAAATGCTGCTCTCGCTTGCAATTACACAAAGTCTGAGGATAGAATCCAGGAGGAAAAGAACGCCGTGTTGCTTGAGCCTCTTATGTATGCCGTCGTAAAAGACCACTTGACAGGCCATGTCCCGCGCTTTTTGAGATTTGCATCTTGCACGGAGGCGGCCAATCACTCTAGACCCTTCCCTTATCCAACAGGTATGCCTAACGCAGGGTCACGTCCAGAGCATCAGCTGGCAAAGCCGCGCAGGTCAGACACGCAACGAACTCGGTCCCCAGCTTCTTCAAGTTGGACCTTACGAAGAGATGCTCAATCTTTCTCAGAAGTGGGTGCTGGAGAAGGCAATTTGCGGAGCTTTGCCAACATGCGCTGTGCGAGCAAAAGCAAACAACCAAAATGCAGGACTCCTACCTTCGCCTGGTGAACGGCCAGACCGGTGAAGAGCGCGTGGAGCGTGGACCCGCTGCAGCCCGTCCGGACAAAAAGGGAACAGAAGCCCACAAAAGAGGCAAAGGCGCAAGGATGCAGAAGGCGAGCGACAAATTGCATGATTGGCCTGCTCCCTGGTTTGAGGTTGTGGTGCCAATGCCTGTTGAGACCGCGCCAGAGGGTAAGCAGAAGGCTGTGTATGTAGACAGCCAGACAGCGGTGAAGGTGCTCAACAGGCAGCATCATTGTGTGGGTCCGAACGTTCTATCACCGACATGTCTCGTAGCACCCCCCCATGAGACATCTGTTTCGGGCAGGCAGAGTGGCCAACAGCGACTAGACACGACGCAGGGTGTTTTCATCCCACTTCCGTACGAGCGAATCCTGGAGACGCAACGCAAGATTTTGGTGTTGCCTCACCAGGACGGACACGGTCAACTAGTCAAGCGCAAGGGCAGGATTTAAACATATTAAAACTCAGTGTTTGGTCGTCTAGTATCTGGTATGGCGACGGAAGGGTGTCGTTGAATGGCGGTACTGGTTTGGCAAGATTTGTAGGCATCTTGGTACACTATGCCGCTTTAGTAGGGCGGACACCGCCAGAGGGCAGCACTCATGTTTGCATTGAGTGCTGGTGACTGCAGGCCTGCGTGACGCGCGACATTTACGGTGCAGTGACTTTGAAGACCGGCGCCGGTGGTGCCACTGCCTTCTTCTTGCCACCCTATACGTCCTTGATGCAATTCAGCTGGTCTGCCTACTCCTCTCCGGTGCCAGAGCATTGCACCAGCTGAGCGCATCGATTCGAACACTGGTGTTGAGTTAGGTTCCTGGCTGGCATCTTAGGTGCTGGAGGACCCGGTGCCAAAAGTTAACATCACCATGATCGATCTGCGTGCCCAGAAGATGTTCTTTCAGAATGAGGCAGAGCTTCGCAGATTAGCGAATCCGCAGCCGATGCACCGATTTCGTACAGCAAGAAAGTCGTCTCGATGTGCTGGGTTGCCCAGGTTCTAGGTCCAGTGTTTGTCCCGATGTGTGCAGATTCTGAAGGTCCGAACGAGCGACAACGTGAAGCTGAAGCTGGAGGGAACTATCTTCTGGCAGGCCAGTTCATCAGGGGTGCAGTGACGAGTGACGACATTATGCAGCGGCCTGCGCCCCCAACTGGCGGTTCTTCCTTCCGCAAGGTGACCGATGTCATGAAGATGGTGTCCATGACTTCGGATGCTCCTGGCGACATCTCTCAGCGTGTGCCTCTAACGGCGTTCATGCACCTGTACGATCCTCTGTTGTATTGTTGTGTGTGGCCGACTCAATGTACTACCGGTCGCAATACAGGATAGACGGTTTGCCACAGAGCAAACCGTCACGTCGACACTCACGCAAAGTGGCGGTGCAGCCTTGTGACCAGTAATCAACGTGGTATGTTTCGGTTTCTTGGTAGAGTCAGTGTTTGCCCTGGAGGCACGATCTGGAATGATCCAAGAAGTTGGCAGGCGCATGCGGTCTTGAGTTAAAGTGCGCTCGCCAGAAGTCGAGGGTCAGCTCGTCCGCTAGGCTTACATTGGCCGAGTTCATGAACGGCTTCAACAATCTGACGCAGGCCACATACGACCGTCAGGCTGGAGGGAGGGCTTCTGGCATGTCAGCAGGGCGTCTGACGGCTTGTGGGTTTTGCATGAAATCATTTGGTGATGATGTAAAATATGTCTGCTATTAATTACATCAGCTACGCATGCACTCGTGTTTGCACATACAAAATCCATATCTGCACGACGCACGCTATAAGTTGTACATAGGAATGCTTACACTGGTCTCGGTTTACAGTTCGGGAACCGCAACACGGAAGCAAAAAGATATTCGTTCAGGTTGCCGACGTCTTCTATTCAGACCGTGGAGTTGAAGTACAGAGCTTGGAGATCACACGCTTTGCGCCTCAGCTCCAAAGTCCACAGCGAGATGAGCTTCTTCACAATGAGAATTATGTAGTTGTTTCTTTTCCTCCATATGCACTTGTTTCTTTTCTTCGCTAGAGTCTTGGTGAGGGTGGGCTTGCTGTCCTTCAAGCAAGTTGCCTGACAGCTGCTGGAAACTGTTGAAGACCCCAGGCAAAGATCGGTTAGCTCCAATACAGGAAAACGAGCCGGGTAGTTCTCAAGCTCGAGGCAAGGCCAGTACTTCATTTCCACCTGTATAGGTTTGCAACCCTCTCGCGTACCTTATACTGTGTCAGGAGTGTCATGCAGCCACGCAGCAGCGGAGACATGTAAAGATGTTGTCAACGTATGATGCATGCGCAGACTTGTTTCAACATGTCCTTGTCACTGTCCGAAGCGTTGGGCCTTTCAGGATTCGGTGGATGCTGCCACAGCGGCGGTCCTGCAAGAGATCATTAAGGAGACCACCCTTCGTGCGGGGCTGGGCAGATCTAGTGAACTTTCCACGGTGAGAAATCGTGCTTGATACAAGTAGCATCTATAATCCATGCACCAGTGTCACCACGCGCGAGCTGCTCCGCACAGTCGCAAGTCTGAAGCTCCGAGGCATCAACGAACTCCAGAAGCAAGAGAGCGAGAACGCAGTGAATGCTTAGGCCCCAGTGGGTGTCTGTCACATGGAAGAAGTTGACCCGGCTCGTACGATTAGTGATCTCAGCGTCCATGGCCGTCATGGCAGTTGTGCCAGTAAGGCCAACGCAAAAAGCCCTTGTCTCTAATCGTGACGTAACACTTTAGTTTAGTACCAGCTCCAGTGAGAGAACTGTCGCTCTAACAGCCGGGAGTGCGGGGTGGAGCAACTGCCTTGTCACGAAGATTCGCCGGATCCAACTACTCTACGAACAACTACGGTGACAGGCCCTTTCCCAAGTCCACCTGCCGAAAGGGAACATCAGGCCATCCTTCGCCATGCCTAGGGTCTAACATTGAAGCTCGATGGCAAGCCTTATGCAGCGCAGAACCGGTAGCCCAACCTGTTGTTATGAAACAATCAATGGGTGCGGCGAGATTTCCGAGGCTGCGAAACTGGCCGCGGACATCAGACTGGAACAACAGCGCACAGCATTGATTCAGACGCAGGCGTGGCAGGGTCTTCCGGCATAAGTTCTCGAGTAGGGCTGCGCAGAGGAGGCAAGGAGAAAAGCAGACTCTTTAATGCTCTTTGCCAAGCAAAATATTCGCTTTCGCCCCTCTTTAGTTCGTAAGCAGAATCGAGCACTGTGAGACGCAGCCATCCTCGCAGGCTGACAACACGAAGCTTGCCAGGCAGTTTCAGGGACAGTCTGCAGGTGCCAAGTTGGTGGGGGATCCCAGTGAGAAACTCCAGAATGATGCACCTGCAGGTGCTGCAGGCAGCTTGCAGTTGCTCACCAATGCTTTGTGTCTACCCATCTCTAGCCCCGGCAACTCGTGCCGAAGAAGTGGTGTCCCTGAATGTGGCGAGTTGCTGAGCGGCAGGCTAGAAGGCTTCCGTCTGGCTCCCGTAATCGAGCGGCACCCCAAAAGTTCGTGAAGAGGGGAAAGCGAGGCTGTTTGCTTTCCTTGAATCGCACACAATCGCGCTGTTGATTCTTGTAGGCAGGATCGGAAGCCATCAGAATTTGGTTGCAAACTGCCACTCAAGGTGCAAAGCGCCATGGCGTTCATCGCGGGGTTGAACGAGTCCGTGCCAAATGTCACCGAACGCGTTGAACTTTACAAGCCCGAGCCTTGGAATTCGACAGATTTAAAGTCAAGGAGAAAACAAACCTGAGGAGCTCAGCTGGACGTTGCCGTTGCTGTCGAGTCAACCATGTTAACTGACGCGGGACGGTATGCTGTCTTGCTCCAGGCTGCACCAAACCTTGACCGCCCGAAACAGCGACACCGCCAGTCTGTCGCAGGGCAAGGTGCCGGATTGACAAGTGAGATCCGTGATTTCTCTCGTGTTTGTGTAGTGCTTTGCTGGAGAAAGTTGTACTTGGCGGACCTCCCTTCGCCCAACAGAGCATGGTGGCCCAGGTTTGACACCACGGCGCCACTTTCCGTAAGCTTGCCAACTCGGTAGCTGAACCTACCTTATCTTCGGGAGCCACACAATGTGTGATTGGCTGCAGGCCCAGATCTTCATGACGCCAGATGATTTCAATCTCAATCTGGGCGCAACGACATCGTGAGTCGCATCCTCATCAGCCCCTTGAGCTGAGAATTAGAGCCACGTGGGTTAGCCTCAGAGCTAAGGGTTGTGATGACAGCATTTGACCCAAGGCACCACGCACGGCAAACCCTGGGAATGTTCAGCTAAGTCTGACTCCGGGAGGCTTGGCAAAATAGACATGGCAGGGCACCAGTGCGGTGACATCCGTGTCACATGTTACCTTCTTCCGTCTTGATGTGCCTGTGGGGCACATCCAACTCTGACAGTTGAGTGACGTAAGTCGCGCGTGTTCCAGCCGAGGTGACTACCGTGACTCCTGGCTGAAGACCGGGCCTTCGTGTATGCCTTCCACAACGTCTTAACATGCCAATGTACACCAGAACCTCAACGGACCCGGCATGTGTAGGAAGGCATCCACCGGGACGCAGCTCAAGTGTAACCGCCGACCTGGCACATCACTTTCTGCAAGCAAGGCCTCGCACGCTTGAAGCAGCAGGCGTGCAGAAAGCTTGTTTGCCGCAGTTGGAAGAGCCAGCACAGTACGAAGTAGGCCAAGGGGATGTCGTCAAGAGGACAGTAGGGTCTGCATTCGGGCCTTGCGGTTATAAGTTAGCAGCATAAGTGACGCTCTGAAACCCTGCCGTGAACACCTATGGAAGGACCTATTGTGTGTGTGTGTGTGTGTGTGTGATGGTGTCCTTTGGCTAGTATTCGTCAATACTAATCACAAACTCGCAACCTGAGTCCCTCCCAAACCCCTTGGCCGCGTGCTGTGGACTTCGACAACATGGGGTATTTATCGTGGTAGTCACCTGGGAGTGTTGAAGTCAGCTTCATGTCAAGTGCAAGCAAGGCACTGGTTGACGAGAGTCACCGTGCCACCAAGTAACTCGAGAATGGGTCGCAATTTGCCCCTGAAGGGGGCATAATTCGAAAAGCTACAAAAACATCCGTCTGCCATGACTGCACCATGAGTATGTAAGTGAACCAAAGCAGAAGGTGAAGATGCCCGACTTGCAAAATCGACGATCTGGCAGTCAAGGCAACAGTTTCATTGGCCGTTTCGAGTTCGAGGGGCGGCCTGCACAGTGTCCCCTCGATCCCGCAGTCGCTGTGACGAGTATTAAGATCTCTGTGTATTTGCACAAGACATGCACGAACTTGTCGTGGATCGACCGTGTTAGTGCCCAGAGCCTTATGGCAGCAAACATATCCACCCACGCGCGCCAAACTATGCCTAGTCAACTCCAAACGGAAACCCGACGGCGCTGCCATGAGAGTCTCGTGGCTCATCGCGGTTACGCCACCATGTTTGTGCAACTTCGTTGTTGCGCTTGAAGCTCGCTGCAAGCAATTGCCATCTGAAAAAGCGGTGATGCGACGGCCATGCCTCCGCGCCTTCAGAGCAGTGACACCGCAGGGACCGACGAGCCAAGACTCTTGCAAAGGTATGGCGTTGTTCTTACTCCACCGTTCCTGGTTCCCGTGACGACCTCAGATGACGCGACTTGATCCCATAATATTCCATACTCCTGTCGACAACAGACATGCGGAAAGACACACCGAAAGGGACAATTCCTGAAAGCACTGGAAGGAAGCTGCCAAGCCCACCCGACCGTGCAGCGCACATGGCATCTTGGAAGCAAGCTGTACTGAAGCTGCACAGGTTTGGCCAATTCCGTCTATCGGGTGCCGCAGCCTCATCACGCAGGGATTTCCTTGCCTTTCAGTCAGCCCAAGAGAATTACCGTACCTCAAGCTGCGACTCCAGACTCTAGAAGCAATCGCCGGGCACCGCAGCAGCACAGCATTCGGCTGCTTTCCGGCCTGAGGTGTTCCTGAAGATGCTGTAGCACAGTGAGATGTTCACTCGCTGGAAAGAAGGTTTCGGAGCCATCAGCCGCCGTTTGTCCATAGCACAGCGCCCAGACTGCCAGACTGAGGGCCTGTTGACAGATGTGTTGCAGCAGCCAGAATTGACGGCCGGAATTCTTATACTTGCCAATCAGTTTGCGAGTTAACCACTTTCACCAAAAAATCCTGTACCTTTCGGATGAGGTCCCCAGCGAAGAAGCGAATCTGGCAATGTCCGTGTCGGCAGGCCACCATACAGAAATGCTCGTGGCTTCGCTCCAGGTAGTGGTGCTTGATCGATTGTGTTGGCACTGCAGGCCTGACCGGATATCTGGCTGCTCGGCAGAAGGGAGATTGCTGGGGTGGTGAGCTTGTCTTGGACCTGCTGCAAGCTGCAGCTGAGAAAGGCCAACCTACCACCGCACGGCACCTTTGCAAGTGACACAGGCAAGCTGAAATGGAAGAGCCTGCGGGCCTATGGACTGCAGACGGTGTGACGCTGAAGCCTAATGCATCGAACACCACGATGCACCATCTACCAGAATGACGAGTCATGGTACTGTAACATGTTTCTACGAACCGACGGCGACGGCCCGTCTTCGATCCTCCAGATGTTTCTTGATGCAGACCCTGTTTATCGGAAGACCTACTTCCACTTTAGCACCCGATATCTGTCTGCAAGTTCCTTGCAGTGTCTCTGCGACATGAGGACACTGAAAGGTGCGCCCCAGTTTTGCGACCATCTCTCAGGCGTCCCTCGTACTCATTGTCGTGGGTATCGTGGCCGGCCCAGACCAGGACAGTCGGACAGGTGTGGCGGAGGTGTGGGTTTCAGCAGACCACAGCTGCATCACTGTGCCTCTCAGCAACCTCACGGCTTCAGGTTTTAGCCCCTTTCCATGCTGCCTTCGGAGGAGCAGTCCATCAGCTTGAACTACGAGCCTTTGCCGCTGGCAGGAGACTTAGACTTAGAGGCTCTATGCAGAAGGACGCTGGCTGGATCGTGTTTGCCAAAGGACGACCCATCAAAATCGAACATGAGCTGGTGCCGAAGGTGTTGAAGCTTCTGCTTCGGCCGATGCTGGGAGAGCGCCTTGGAACTGTACGACGACGTGCTTCCTTCGATGGGATGGTACAAGTGTGCCTGTGTAGTGCTGCGACAATGCACGGAAGTGAACGTCTAGGTCAGCCTTCGTCCTATTGGTGAACTCGTCGTGTTGCACAAGCTGTACAAGCACTGCTCCCCGAAAGGCCATCAGATTCCAGGCAATCCGACCCCTTTAGCGATCCTGTGTAGAACTCAGCTTTGGGATTTTGGCAGATCATGAATTTGAGACTCGCTGGACTGCCGGCCCACCGGGTCCAGAGGTTGCTATAGCTTTTCCTGCAAACCCGGTCATGATCGGTGGCGTAATCGGCGTGGTGCTCAGGATGAGGCAGCCTGTGTTCAAAGGAGCCAAATTATGGATGTTTAGCTTGCACCAGGTCTCGTTCTCACTTCGTTAAACCTTTTGAGTCTGGGGCGCTTGGACGGCGGGGAACTTAAAGCACCAGCATGCCCAATATGCCAGCATGCGTGAGCTGCAGGGCTCAGTTCGGGGCGCTCGTGGCCCAGGAGCCATCCTCGCCCGAAGTTCGCTCCGAAGTCTGAGACTTCTTCCAGGCCTCCTGAGCTCGGGCCCTCGCAAATTCTGTTCCTTCGTCTCTTGCTTAGTCATGTTTCACGCGCTGCCCAGGTTTCGGCATTCTGTGCGCAGGCTGTCTCAGCACGTCTGGAGCCAGCTACTTGTGTGGTTCTAAGTCATTGCAACCAGCATGAAGGCCCCGAAGCCACGACAAGACATCGTATGTGTAACGGTTACGTCATTGCTGAGCCATGTCTCCCAGGTATGGGCTTTTTGCGTCTGGGGCTCAGCTGAAGACCACTTGCTGCAACTTAAGTCTCCGGTGCCCCTAAGGCAGTCATGACCCGTTTGCAGTCTACACGATCACTGCGCATGGGTGGTCAATTTCAGGATATATGCCTTGGTCTTGCAGAGTGGCTACAACCGCCCGGTGCGCGTCCTGTCCTTATGCGAACAAGCTCACTTTCCGGGATGGCTTTAATTTGGTGCACATCAGAGGAACTGTTCCTGCAGCTGTCTGCGTCACTGTTATGGATTATTGAATGCCTTGTTTTCAAACACACTGCACTGCATGGGCCGCCGGTCCCACTCGCTTCAATTTTCTGTACACACGGCAGACAACGACCGTGGAAGGGTGCCCCCAAGTAGCAGCCATCGACTAGAAGGGATGTGCTTTGAAGAGCAAAACAACTCCCCTGAACACCTTCAGCAATCTGCGGAATCTGCAAAACTACAGCAGGCAGGTCAGAAAACCATCAAGGAGCTGATATGGTCTTGAGAGTCAAGCCTGATCACTCCCAGCATGACGGAGCACAGCACATCACAGCACCTGCTGCAACTTCGTTCTTGTTTCCTTGAACTAGTAACTAGTTGCATGAGGATGGTGTGTCTGAGCCGGAGACGTCCCTCAGCCTGACGGCCATTGCTCTAGTAGCCGTTTCCTGAGGAGGTTGCTTCCAGAATTCGTGTTAGGGCTCCCTTGCTGTGCAGCCAGCGCTGAGGTCACCGGCATTCTGCTGTCTTTGCCAGGTTCGTTCCCTGGTCTGCAGACATTGTAGAAGCGCTGAAAAGAACAAGTGCGGGCTTCACAAGTGTATCCGAAGACGCAGTGCAAGACTCGAGCTATCCTGCACACTGGTATCCGGTTCTGGCTCAAGCGTTAACACTGGCTCGCATCAGAGAAGAGGCCTACAGGTGCAATCACAGAGCCATGGCTCCAGCTTCAGAGTGAGCGCTCGGAGAGTGGATGCGAGGACAGTGAAGGCATATTTGGGACGTCGCCCAGCACATCTATCATGACCAATGCAGCAACCTGATGCATTTGGAGTCCTTCCAGCACAGCTCTTTCCACGTCCGGGGCATCCTGGAGAGTGGATCCAGGCGTTGCCAAATCAGCTTTACAGGCCAGAGACGAGTCAGCACCACTAAAATAGGGTCCATTCAGCTGGCATTTTGTCATTCACTTTTCCGCTGCATGCCAGGTTTTGCCTATCGTGTGTGTCCAGTGCAAGCCATATGGCTCGAGCTTGCGCTATAGTCTACAGTTCGCCAGTCATGTGCTGGGCAGTCGCCCCGATGCACAAGTTCTAGAAAGTTGGCCTTTCTTCGGCCTCAGCGCGTAGCGAATGTCCAACACCAAAGTCTTGGGCCCAAGCTCGCGCAGTTCATCTCCAAGAAGCTCGACATCCTCAGCTTCCTCACTGGCATCGAAGGACTCCAAGGCACCTTCATTGCGCAGCACCGAGGGAGTCGGCGGGGGGAGCCCTACGGCAAAGTCTGGCCGTTCCACTTCTCCAGACAAGCCAAAAACACCAAAGGAAAGCAAAGGCGATGCAAAGCAAAAGACTCCGGGAACAAGCAAGGCAGGGAAGGGCAAGAGTGGAAAAGATGGCGAAGACTTCTTCGCGATGATCCCATGCGGGACTCCCTTCGCAAAGCTTCCGAGTTTGAAGGAATGTGCCAATGATCCCGATGCTTTGAATGAGCTACTCATTCAGAAGCTCCAGCTTTGCTTCACAGTGTACGATTTTAGGAATGACCGAATGATGACCGAGAAAGAAGGCAAGCGCTACACGCTCCTGGAGATCACGCAATATTGGCCAGGCGAGAAGTCAGACGACAAGAAGTCCAAGAGCAACCCCAAGATCAACGCAGCCAGAAGCGACGCGGAGGATCCGACTTCTTCCGGACTGCAGGCTAGCAGTGGAGGCACCGAAACAGAAGGCCAGCAACCAACTACGTTGATTGGCAATGTTGTGGAGCTGGTCAGGAGGAACGCTTTCCGCACTCTCATGCACCGAGACCGCACACCCATGGATCTGCTGGACGGAGATGACGACGAGCCCCTGTTAGAGCACACTTGGCCCCATCTGGAGCTCGTGTACGAGCTGCTGTTGAAGGTGGTGCAGAGTAAAGAGATTGACTTCCCAACCGCCCAAGCCGCCGGCATGGACAAGGTCTTCGTAAGCAAGCTAATTGAGTTGATCGAGTCTGATGATCCAAGAGAAAGGGAGATTCTCAAAACCCTCATCACCAAGATCTACAGCAAACTGAGCAACTTACGCTCCACAATCCGAAGAACCATCCAGGCCTTTTGCCAGAGGGCTGCAAACTTGGAGGATGGTGAGACCCCCCAGTGTGGTTTGTCAGAGTTGCTGGAGGTCTTTTCCGCCCGCATTGTGGGAAGTTTTCAGACCCCCTTGCGGAAGGAGCACCGCGATGTGCTTACCGAGGTTCTGTTGCCCTTGTACAAGCTTGATCACCTTTCTTTCTTCCATTCGCAGCTGAAAGACGTCGTGAAAGCCTTTTGCAAAAAGGAGTCTGGCCTTACCAAGGCTGTGGCTTTGGGTTTGCTCCGCTATTGGCCCCAGTGCGCGAGCAGCAAGCAGACAATCTTCATTGGGGAGCTAGAGGACATGATCCACCAGATGCCAAGCACAGACTTCAAGTCCATAGGCCCTGCTGTGGCCAAGCGCTTGTCGGCTTGTGTCATCTGCCCACATTCAGAGGTAGCGGAGAAGGCCCTCGGTGTTTGGCGGCACCAGCCGACGGTTCGCTCCACTGTTGCTAATTGCCGTGATGATATGCCGCTGATTGTCAGTGCCCTGTACGGCAATGTAACGCAGGCATGGGCACCCAATGTGATGAGCAAGACACTGGATGTGCTGAAGAACTTCATGGATGCCGACCGTGAGCTTTTCGATAGCTGTTCTTCCAAACATCGGAAACAGGCTGACGAAGCGGAGAAACGCGAAGCTCTCCGTGTGCAGCGCTGGAGTGCCCTCCGAGCAATGCACGACAAGTTGCATGGACAGGAGAGGTTGGAAAGGCATTTTGAAATGCCAAGGTCTGCGCCTAGGACTCCAACAGGCAGGCCTCAGCTTCCTATCAATGAGGAAGTCGCCTTGAAGCCAGATTCCAGCTGCGCCTTCTCCCTGTGCTGGGACTGGTCATTGACACCGTCCGTTGAGCAGCTGTCATTGCAGGCAGTTGTTGTCAACACGGATGGGAAAATCATCGATGCCGTCCACAGCCGCAACCTCACGGCGTTCCAGTCTGCTGTGCGCCTCACGGCACGTGCGCCTGCACAAAACATGTGCAGCGCATGTTGTGGCACGATTTGGGTTTCGTTAGACTTGCTACCGATGGACGTTGCCATGGTGATCTGCATCGTGACATCTGCTACAGGAGTCCCTCTGGCAAGCATTGCATCGCACATGGTTTTGAATGTCGACAGCAGTGGCAACGTTTGTCTAGGAGAGATCAGTACGGATGTTCCTCTGGCAGCGAAGATGGGCTGCTTGGGCGTCCTTAGGCGCCAGGACTGGAACAGCTGGGTCTTGGTCCCGAAATGTGAGTGGACGAAGCAGGCTTGGCACTACATGGACTTCCCGGACTTGCCCGGGAAATTCATCAAGGAGGTGCTCCCCATGGTGTCAAAGAAGCAGCGGGCGCAGGCATCCTTTGTCGCCATGGCCAAGGGCTCGGTCGCAGACTGTCCGATTTTCCCTGCGACTGGTGTTAACAAGAGGGTCTTCGTCGGCATGGGCTGGGACTGGTACTCAGTGGATGAAGCCAGCACCATCACCGTTGCCTTGGTCCTCTACAGTGCCGACGGGAAGCATGTACAAACAATCTCAGCCGAGAACTCTGGCAGTGTTAAGGGAGCTTTTCATACGGGAGACGGAGCTCTTTCTGCCGGAGTGTTTCTTGAGTTGGACTCACTCCCGGAGGAGGTGGCTGTGGCATTCCTGGTGGGGAACATCGCTGATCCTGAGACTACTTTCGGCATGGTTCAGCAACCTCATAGTACCGTCATAGATGCAACAGGCAAGGAGCTCTTGCGCTATTTCATGCCGGAGGACCGCAAGAAGGCGAGTAGATGCAACGGCCTCATCCTGACACGCCTGTTCTGGAACGAGTTTCATGGTCGGTGGAGTGCTCAGGCCCTGGGCCATTACTGCACCGGTGTGTCTTGGGACAAGTCTCAGACAGAGATGCTGAGCTTGCTGGCGATGCCACCCAGCAACTTGCAGACCCTGCTCATCGAGGATGAAGACAACGTCACCAGAGGTGACCATCGATCCACGACAGCAGCGAGCTCAACCAGCCAGAGCGTGATCATGTCCCTCTGAGACATCTCACGCGCTCCTTGGTCGGCCGGCCTTCCCTAGAGTGTAGGTTGGACTTGTTCTACACCATCTTCCTGTTTTTTGAAGTCCAGGTTCAAGCCATTGCATCGTTCCATAAGGAACATGAGCAAACAGTTGTAGCAGAGTGGGGGGAGACGGATGAAGGTACCGGAGGCGGGTGTGTGTGTGTATATATATATATATATATGTATGTATATATATATATATATATATATATATTATTCGAGCTTGCTAGTCTAAGCTTCCCTGGCGATGTGCCAGTCTACTGTAAGTTGGTTTGACGTCTGACTTTTGTACCTCATCTGCCCTCCTGTGTAGTTTCACCGCAGCGACGATTTGTGCAGTTGAGAGATCAAAAGCCACAGATCAACTCGCATCATCAGAAGCCAATGCAGTCTCCGGCGCCCACAGCCTGATGACAGAGTCCGTGCAACTCAGCGCTTGCACTGTCTGTTGCGCCGTGTTTCCAGACTTTCGGCGGCCAGGACGGCAGTTCAACCGCTTGCCAGACCAGAGTTTATAATTGGCGCGCGGGTGGAATACCTCAGCGCACGGTTCCAAACTCAGATGCGTGGTGTGATCACGTCGCGAAGTCCCTTCAACATGCTGGAGGCCCGCAGGGAATGACCGCTGCAATGGCTCTTGCCCGTGGCATGCTTGAGAGCAATTATTGCCGTAGCCACTGATATAAGCTCACTCAGATCTCATCGGAGCCCGGGCAGTGGATCTCTGTCCACAGCCCCACGCTTCGATTGGTGCAGAGACTTGGCCATGGTTCGGAGTTTGCCCATGCACCCAAGGTGATGCTTCAGTCCCGGTTCGTCACGAGAGCTGAGTCCTCCAGCCTTCGGCCACTCTTTTTCTCCCCTCAGCTCTCCTGCCCCTGATTCTCCCCCAGATTCTGCAGGCATGCAGTCCTTGCACGATACAAGCAGCTACTAGCATGCAGCATAAGCCGCCACTGCAACTGCTCACTGCACACGCACTTTTTCCCCACTACCGTTTGATTGCGCTGCTGTCCCGTGAACCCCTGGAACGACATGTCAATGTAATGTGTGTCGAGAACTGTACCAAGGCAGCTAGAAGTGCAAGTGGCAAGATATCCAGCCGGAGCCGCGATCGAGTATCTCTGCAGAGAGCGACGTCAATGGCGGAGAGGAACTGCTACTGGGCCCTGACTGGATCTTCAACGAAATCTATCGGAGCCTGCGCCAGTGTGACTCAGCACGAGGTGACGGCGGTCATGCCCCGAACTGGCAACCTGCAGATTTCTTTGAGGAGAAGTGTTGTTAAGCATGCCACAGACGGATCCAATGTTTGTTGCTGGAGACGCCAGGGATGGTGCTTACACATGGCAGGCCTGGGTACTGGTTGAACCCTGCTGAGCAGCAGACGATTCTCAGACC